TAACCTTAAAACTATTAATCACCATCGTAACCTGTGAAAGATTCTTGATCACATTAGTAACCTGTAAGACACTTGAATACCTTGGTAACCTGTCCAACATTCTCAGTCACCTTGGTAACCCATAAATGAATCTTGATCACCTTAGTAACCCAAAACCACTTAATTAACTTGGTAACCCATCAAAGATTCTAAATCACCATGGTAACCAATAAAACACTCTAGTGACCTATAAAAAATTAAAAAGATAAATATAGATGAAGTAGAATTAAAATAGAATAAAAAGTGTTAGAGTTAGAGGGTCAAATAAAGGTGGAACAGATGTGTTTTTAGTGGTTTCTTGAAGATGGCTAAGCACTTCTGAAGCCAGATTGGTTGCTGTCCAGGAGGTTGTTCTGTGTGAGAAAGGCTGAGACTTGGTTGAGCACAACTCGTTCAAGTGTTTTTGCAATGAAAGGTAGAAGGGAAACTGGTCTGTAGTTCTCTAAAAGAGATGGGTTAAGAGTGGGTTTCTTAAGAAGTGGGGTTATACGAGCCTGTTTAAATGCTGAGGGAAAAACACCAGTGTGAAGGGATGTGTTAACGATGTGAGTGAGTGCAGGTACAATGGCTTTGTACCTGCCATAAACTTAGTAACCTATAAAAGATTCTTGATCACCTTAGTAACCTACAAAACACTATTTTGGTAACCCACCAAAGATTTTAAATCACCATGGTAACCCATACAAAAAAAACTCTCAATCACCTTAGTAACCTTCAAAACACTTAATTACCATGGTGACCCATAAAAGATTCTTGACCACCTTAGTAACCTATAAAAACTTAATTACCTTGGTAACCTATCAAAGATTTTAAATCACCATGGTAACCCATGAAAAGCTTCTGATCACTTTAGTAACCCACAAAACACTTGATTACCTTGGTAACCCTTCAAAAATTCTCAATCACTATGGTAACCCATTAAAAACTCTCAATCACTTTAGTAACCTTCAAAACACTTAATTACCATGGTAACTGATCAAAGGTTCTCAGTCACCAAGGTAACCCATAAAAGATTCTTGATCACCTTAGTAACCTATAAAACACTTAATCACCTTGGTAACCCATCAAAGATTCTTAATCACCATGGTAACCCACCAAAGATTTTAAATCACCATGGTAACCTATAAAACACTGTCACCTTGGTAACCCATAAAAGACTCTAGATGGCCTTAGTGACCTTTAAGACACTTGATTACCATGGTAACTTTTCAAGGATTGTCATTAAGCCTGTGACCTGTACCGTGGCAGCAGCAGGACTCGTCGGTGACGGAGCTGATGGAGGACTCCTCTCTGAAGCAGCTGTGCAGTCGAGCGGCGCTGGAGGAGCGGACGGAGCTCGTGCTGTAACGACACGCCATGATGCAGGACAGGAGCACTGTCGCTCTCTGCTGACATATAGAGAGCTGCTGCACTGCATTGTGGGATATCTGGCCTCTCTGACCGCTCCATAAAAGGCCGAGCTCCTGGAATCCACTCCTGGAGTAACGGTCCGAGAGATAAGACATGGAAAACTTCACAGAAACACCCACACAATCACACTCAGATAAACCACTGAAAATACATGCAACAAAACTATCAAAGTCTGTTACTGAAACACTAAAAGAACTACAAGAAACCCCAGCCAGTGTTTAAGTGATAAATAGATTATTCTTTTTTTTTGTTATTGATCAGATTTTTAGTTTGTTTGTTTGCTCTTACTGGACACTGACTGATAAATGATGCTTGTGCTTAAGTTACAAATAATTATTTTTTATTTATTTGTGTTTATTGTTTTACTTGACAAGTAATAGCATATATAGATAGCATTCATTTATTTTTATTAAAAACCCAAACAAGAAAAAAATAGAAAAATTTAAATAGAAAACATGAATTGAAATGATTATTTAGAACCCAAACAAGATGCAAAAACAAACACTCGGATATTAAAATAACTAGTCAAGCAGTCAAATATTCATAAGAAAAACCAAATGAAAGGTGTGGAGTCAGACTGTGCAGTACAGTATGTTCACTATCGAGGGACTGAAGAGAGACTAATTAAGCACTGAATCAGAGACCAGTCCACAGAGAGAGTCATTTCCAGAACACAAACCTGCAGAGACCCCTGAACGGATCTAATTAAGAGACAAACGCATGTCTAACACACACACACACACACACACACACTCTCTCTCTCTCTCTCTCTCTCTCTCACACACACACACTCTCTCTCTCTCTCTCTCTCTCTCTCACACACACACACTCTCTCTCTCTCTCTCTCTCTCTCTCACACACACACACTCTCTCTCTCTCTCTCTCTCTCTCTCACACACACACACTCTCTCTCTCTCTCTCTCTCTCTCTCACACACACACACTCTCTCTCTCTCTCTCTCTCTCTCTCACACACACACACTCTCTCTCTCTCTCTCTCTCTCTCTCACACACACACACTCTCTCTCTCTCTCTCTCTCTCTCTCACACACACACACTCTCTCTCTCTCTCTCTCTCTCTCTCACACACACACACTCTCTCTCTCTCTCTCTCTCTCTCTCACACACACACACTCTCTCTCTCTCTCTCTCTCTCTCTCACACACACACACTCTCTCTCTCTCTCTCTCTCTCTCTCACACACACACACTCTCTCTCTCTCTCTCTCTCTCTCTCACACACACACACTCTCTCTCTCTCTCTCTCTCTCTCTCACACACACACACTCTCTCTCTCTCTCTCTCTCTCTCTCACACACACACACTCTCTCTCTCTCTCTCTCTCTCTCTCACACACACACACACACACACACAATGACGTCCTGGATGCTGATTTTAGAGAGGACGTCAATATTTGTCTATTTATAGACACTTAACCTCACACACACACACACAAACACAAACACTCAATGTCGTCTCTGGCCCCGGGAAAGTGTCCACAGAAGGGGGCCTTCACTCCGTCACAGTCCAGCGACACGATTGGATGGTTAAATGTGCATCACAACGGGCAGCATCCGGCCAATCAGAGCACGGAGTGACAGACAACTTAAGGCGCTTTTTATAGCGTTTAACCTTAAAAAGAGCTAATCTTCACAGAGAGACAGAAAAAGAGTCGTGATAAAGGACAATGACAAGGAGAAAGAGTGAGATGAGAGAGACTGAAAGTGAAATGCTGAAACCATGCAGCTACACACACACACACACACACACTAAATTCTGTTTAGGAATATTTATTTAATTATTTAAAATGTTGCAGGTTTGTGTCTCCAAGGTTTCAGCAGTCAATAAGGATTATTTGTAACTTTATTTTCAAGCTTTATAAATAACAGTAATTGATTTTATTAAGAACCTTAACAAGAAAAAATGCATAAATAAAAAAATAAAAGAATAACAATTAAATTAAAAATAAATACAGAAAGTAATAAAAAGGTGAAAATAAGGGCAAATAGTAATATAAACATAAATTCAGGAATTATATATAATATATATATATATATATATATATATATACACATACACACACACACACTACCTTTCAAAAGTTTGGGATCAGTAAGATTTTTTTATATTTTTTACAGAAGCCTCTTGTGCTCATCAAGGCTGTATTTATTTGATCAAAAATACAGAAAAAAAATGTTATTTTGTGAAACATTACTGCAACTATTTTAATATACTTTAAAATATAATCTATTCCTGCGATTTCAAAGCTGAATTTTCAATGTCACGTGATCTTCAGAAATCATTCTAATATGCTGATTTATGATCAGTGCTGGAAACTGTTGTGCTGCTTCATGTTTTTTGGAACCCGTGATACTTTTTTCAGGATTCTTTGATGAACATAAAATTTTTAAAACAGCATTTATTCAAAATGTAAATCTTACAATATGTTACAATATGCACTACCATTTAAAGGTTTGGAGTAATAATTCCTTTTTTTGAAAGTAATAAATACTTTTATTCAGCAAGGATGTGTTAAATGGATAAAAAGACTCATATTGTTAGAAACTATTTTAATTTTAAATAAATGCTGTTCTTTTTAATGTTTTATTCATAACAGAATCCAGAAAAAAGTATCACAGTTTCCAAAAAAAAAAAAAAAAAACGAAGCAGCACAACAGTTTCCAGCACTGATAATAAATCAGCATATTAGAATGATTTCTGAAGATCATGTGACACTGAAGACTGGTGCTGAAAATTCAGCTTTGATCACAGAAATAAATTACATTTTAAAGTATATTAAAACAGAACACCAATAATAGAAAGTGAAATAATATCTCACAATATTACAGTTTTTTCTGTATTTTTGATCAAATAAATACAGCCTTGACGAGCACAAGAGACTTTATTTAAAAAAAACATAAAAAATGTTACTGATCCCAAACTTTTGAACATTGTTGTGATTTCTCTTCAAATGTGACATATGTGGATCCGTTATCTTGCATTGAAATATTTAAAGGGCAAAATAAATATTTTAAATGGTTTAACAAAAAAAATGTATGTATACGTTTTTAATATATTTTGCAAAGATATCCCCAAAAATTAATTTGGTTAAAAAAAAATCCATGTATTTCAAATGTATTTGAAATATACTAGATTTGAAAATAGATTTTTTTTTTGCCGTATGAGAATGGAGAATGAAATGGAAAATGAGTACAACACTTGTGTTAGAAATGGAGTTTGATAATACAAATGATGCATTAGGACTTGCGTTTATAAACTCTTTTGGAGTAACATAACCAGACCCACTCATTGTTTCAATCATACGCTAGATTTAATGATATCGCATGGAATTAATCTCACTGATATAGATATAGTACCTCAAAGCTACTGACCATTTCCTTGTATCGTGCATGCTGCGTATTACTAATATTAACTATATGGCTCCGCGTTATCGTCCGGCCAGAACTATTGTTCCAGCCACCAAAGACAGATTCACAAATAACCTGCCTGATTTATCTCAACTGCACTGTGTACCCATAAATACACATGAACTAGACGAAATGACTAGCAACATGGGCACCATCTTCTCTAATACATTAGAAGCTGTTGCCCCCATCAAATTGAAAAAGGTTAGAGAAAAACGTGCTGCGCCATGGTATACAACGAGTCTTTTTCTTGAGAGAATAAGACTCGTAGTCTTGAGCGCAAATGGAGAATTTTACCGCACATTTCTGCCACATGGACATCAACTTGAGATAGTCACCACTGATAAGCTATTAATAAATATAATTTAGAAACTTTAATTTTCTGTAAAGCTACTTTGCAATTATTTGCATCGTGAAAAGCGCTATACAAATAAACTTGGATTGAAATATATATATATACACACACATGTTTATTTTAGTGTTGTTTGTTTCCATCATGGTGTTTTTGTATTTGTGTTTAATAATTTCAATACTTAGACTCTGAACTATCAGTTACAATAACTCGGGTCACTAAAAAAACTTGGTAATATTATTAGAAAATACGGGATTAGTTTCCACTGTTATGCTGATGATACTCAACTATATATCTCAACAAGATATAGTACCTAACTAGTCTTCTACCACGCTACAATCCATCACGCTCCCTAAGGTCGCAAAACTCTGGACTTTTGGTAGTACCTAGGATAGAAAAGTCCATTAAAGGAGGAAGAGCTGTTCGCATTTGGCTTCCAAACTCTGGAATAACCTTCCTGATAATGTTCGGGGTTCAGACACACTCTCTCGGTTTAAATCTAGATTAAAGACACATCTCTTTGGCCAAGCATTCACATAATGTATCTCATAAACTTGTACTTCAGGTACGTCTGATCAAATGCACATATTCATTCTTTTGCTTGGGTTGAACACATCATTTTTTGTTTAGTTGGAACAGCAGCTATGCTACTTTTTCTCTATTATCTTCTCTGTTTCTGCCACGGGATTGATATCCCATGGTAACTAGGAATTACACAAGCTTCAGTCTGGATCCAGCTCTTACAAAGACCTGAGATAACCGAACACCTGAGAAGAGATGATGCCAACCCCTCTGAAGACCTCAGATGATGCAAACCATCAGACAACATACAAAACTACCAAATTCTGCATTACATGACATTAAGTAACTGCTTGATATTTACCGCACATTTCTGCCACATGGACATCAACTTGAGATAGTCACCACTGATAAGCTATTAATAAATATAATTTAGAAACTTTAATTTTCTGTAAAGCTACTTTGCAATTATTTGCATCGTGAAAAGCGCTATACAAATAAACTTGGATTGAAATATATATATACACACACATGTTTATTGCTTTATTTTAGTGTTGTTTGTTTCCATCATGGTGTTTTTGTATTTGTGTTTAATAATTTCAATACTTAGACTCTGAACTATCT